ACTGTGTCTCATCCTCATGGTTGCGAAAACTCATCTTGTGAGAAGAGAGTATGTGAAGATATACTACAGAAATGATCCTGTGAAGTATGATCTTGGTACCAAACTTCCAAAATGCGAAAATTATAGCCAGATGCTATATACTCACGAGAATGTATTAGGGTGTGCCGCCATCTAAGGGTGCCGTGGAAAGCATAGCACAATAGAAGGCATGACGATAATCTCTATCTTGCGCACTGATCCCCTTGAGATAGCAGAAAATATTTATATCTGTTTCTAATATAGATTTGTACATGATACAATGAATAGATTGATAACCTACCTATAGAAGGTAGGTTATCAATCGGTCGAAAACTCGATTTTCGTGCGCACATGACGTCATTGGTTAGCACTTTGGTAAAGTGAGCAGCTGATTCCATTTAAAATGCATGTAACCTATACAGATTTTCATTGTATTTAAAACGCAATAGTTCAAAAGTAGTAAGTTATATGAGAATATGGTTTGCAGTATTGTATAGCTCAATGCTTTCAAAATCGCGTTTAGGATCTGATTTAGGCTAATTGCGAAGAAAAATACTCTAAACAGGTCTTTACAAAATCTCTGATTTTCAGCGTTATAGCTTGCTATGTTGCCAGAGTGTCATTTGTAAGATCGGGTAGGGCCAAACGAAGCGATTAATTCATTGAATCATGGGGTGAATGAGTTTGGGCGTATTTGGGAATCCTGTATACAAATAACTGAGCTTTTTGCGTTCGGTAGTTAAAAAGTTTACTGTAGTAGTATGGGAGAATGCTTGTTGTCGTGCGGATACGAAAATGCTCTCAGCATTTCAAAAGTGATGATTATGAGAGGAATTTGCAATTCCAACTTTTGGGGTACCTGCCAAAAGCAAACGCAAACTTTATTGCATTATCTGGCAACTATGCTAGCCTACAAAATAAATAAATTTATGTGACGTTTCATTTTCAAGTTTAAAACCTGCTGCAGAGCATTTTGTAATTATAATAAAGATTTGTAAAAAAATTATTAAATGTGACAAAGACTAAATAAGCTATATTTAATTCCAAATCAAAATCAATTCCTGGGTCTCAGTCATTTATTGTCTCTATTTATCAATTAAAATACGTTTCGGTGTATTTTTCTACCATCATCAGTTTTTCTAAAATAACAGATAGTTAAAAAAAATTTTTTAATTAATTTAAAAAACAATTACAGTTCGTCAACAGCCTCATTATATCACACACTAAAATACATCACAATTGCAACACTTTAAAACATTCCAAAATTAATTAGACCTGACAGGTGATTAGTCAGGACAATCAAATTTGGGAAAAGACTAGAATTCTTTGTTCGGATACTGGTGTAGCGTTGTTGCTGCTTTAAGCCTTGGCATACATTTGGAGTATTAATTTTGCCCATTTTGGACACAAAGCGAAATACTGTTTATTTTGATTTCTTTTACTTTCAGCTATTTTTCTTTGCATTCGGAGAATATTATTTTTGGTTTGCAAAATTCTTTAATATACCGGGTGTTAGTTAATATTCTATGTTTATTTCATTTAATTAATGTATGATATACTGAGCTAAGATTGTCGGTATCCGAT